AAGGGCAAGATCAGGTCTCCTCCTCCTGTGCTGTGTTGGTAGGTAAATAGGTTCCCTTGTATGCATTTTATTTGTCTATTTAGCGGTTTGCTTAGCTTTTTAGTTTCAATTTTACTTTTTTTTTTCAATTGTAACTATAGCCAAACATTTTTTTTTAAAGGACAGAGAATGCCTAGAATTGGGGCAGTCAAACTCTGACCCTCCAGGTGTGGTGAAACTACAGATCCGATCATGGATCAGCCTCTGGGAGTCATGCCTGTGGCTGTCAGTCTTGCAAAGCCTGAGATTTGTAGTTCAGCAGCTGGAGGGCTGGAGTTTGCCTAACCCAGGCCTGGAATATCTGAAAAGTTTTCAATCTTGACCCCACTGGGGAGATTGGCTTGCATTGTTTTTCCCCCCCGGAAACAAATTACGGAAATGAGTAAATATTCTGAAATTTTACAGTTGCAGGTTGTCTTCATTCACAGTTAGTTGAAGATCACTTGTGGAAGGGTGGTGGTGTTGGTCAACCCAAAATGCAGTGTATTTTATTGCAGGGCTGGACAAATCACAGGAGCCAGGTAGCCAGTGCTGGCTCCCAACTTTTGTATTCTCTCGTTTATGGTGCCTGTTCCTAAAAAAAAAAAAAAAACTGGCTTCTGGTTTGGACAGACTGGCTCCTGAATTACATACAAATCTCAGTTTCTCCACACCTGGTTTAGAGGCATAATAGGTTTGTGGCTCAGAGGACTGAAGTCATTTCAGTAGCAAGACGGCCAGGTAACTGTTATTTTGAGAGAGCGCAATGGAAGGCCACTTTGTTTCCCTCTTGCCATTGGTTTGTGTTTAAAGGAGAATTATGGGGTAACAGAAAACACTCATCCCCATAATTCAAGCCGACCTGTGACACTGAAGCTATCACAGTTCAGCTATATTGATCGGGAAGTCGGCAAACACATACCGCTTATCGCTGACTTCCAGATCCTCTCCCCCTCAGGGATTCCTCTTCCTCCCGTCTCCGATCCTCCAGCACTGACTAGAGCAGGGGTCAGCAACCTTAAACACTCAAAGAGCCATTTGGACCGGTTTCCCACAGAAAAGAAAACACTGGGAGCCACAAAACCCTTCTGACATCTAAAATGAAGATAACACTGCATAAATCGTTTTTTTACCTTTTTATGCTATGTATAGCATGTATATAGGTATATGTGGGCTTAGTAGCGCACTGCACTCTGGGCTTAGTAGCGCACTGGACTTAGTCAGGCAGTGTGCACTGCAGGGGGCGGGGCATGTGACACACTTCACCTCTTGCCTGTTACTAGGGGCACGGCCAGGAGAGGAGGTGAGTAACCATCGCCCCCTTACGGAGAAGCCTGTCGGCAGTGCTGGGCCCCGGGACCCTGCACTGCCGCATATTCCACCAGGGGGCTGCCCATTCCCGGACCTCACTGGGCCCCCCCACACACTTAGGCCCCGAGGCCCCAGGGGTAGTTCCACCCCTGGACAGGGAGCCGCGGCAGAGGGATGAAAGAGCCACATGCGGCTCTGGAGCCGCAGGTTGCTGACCCCTGGACTAGAGGAACGGACAGGGGAGAGGGCGGGCACAGCTGGCTCTGCCTCTGACAGATGGCTCTGCCTCTCTAATCAGCCAGTGGGGTAGATCTTGACAGTATTGTCGGGATCTGTCCCAGCTGCGATGTGGCTCTGTGCTCTCAGCATATAGTGGGAAATAGCCCTCTATATACTGAGTTTTAGGTCACCGGAGTGCACAGTATATGTCCTCCCCTAACCCTAAAGAGATCTATGGGAAAAAAAGGTTGCCCCATAGTTCTCAATTTAAGGAAGAATATTGTTACATGGCTTCAGTACCTTGTCAATGACCTGAAAGCATGCAATAAGCATACTGAATGTCTGGAAAGGTCAACGGGTATTTCTGTACTTGCTGAAAATCTTTTTGGCTTGAAATATAAAAACTAATGCAGCCACCACTTCTGAGGACTGTGAAGCTGCAGTATATACTTTTTATTTTATTTTTTTTATTTTTTTTAAGTTATCCTAATTATCAGAGATCTATCTAGGTTCATGTATGCATAGTACGTAAAAATCTGGCAAAGGCTGGAATATGAGTATTTGTGTATCTTCAATAGCTGCATGTAAAGCTTTTTGAGGGCCCGTTTTCACCAAGCCTCCATGTGTAATGGGGCTGGAGCCCCCCCCACCTGCAGTGCAATTGCCCATCCCAGAGTGCGTGGAACAGCAATGCCCACCTGTGTAGTGCATGCACTATTTTTTGTGATCGGACCAGAACGTGGGCATTGCTGTGCCAAATGTTCTGGTGCGGGCAATCGCACTGAGGGCAGGAGGGTGGGGGTCGTGGTTGTGGTGCCAATGACTTGAATGCACCACTATGTTCCCTTTAGCCCCAGAATGCAGGGAGGCTTACAGTATGCGATCCAGTGTGTTCCAGCAATTGGTGTGAATGGGACCTTTAGTGAGGTGTGCAGGTTTAGGAGATACAGCACAAATGGTTTCTATGGGATATCTTTTTAGATATTTGTATGCACTTGAATATTTAATTATTGTTCAGTTTTCTAGTTGCTTAATGTCTGGATTAGAGACTTAATCTATGTCAAAGCTGAGGTATTTCTGTCCCTGATAAAACCATCCATTACTGATGTTCATCCTTGTGCATTGCAGAGCTTCAGAACTGTGACAGTCTCTAGATCTGGGTGATCAAAGGAATTACATTTTTAGTACCGGTACTGATTTTTTGGTTGCATAATTGCTTTTCATCATAATCCTGATGTAACTGATGGTATTGCTGTTAGTGACGATATTTGGAATATTTCTATTATTTATGTATGTAAATATGTTAAGATTTAAAAATGTTTTTAGGTGATTGTAAGTTTTATATAATGATGATGGAATATTTAAAGATATTGATTGAGTTGATCTTTTGTTTCTACGTCCCGTTGCAGCCTTTTACTTAATATTGAACCTTAAGTTACTGCAGTGACCGTGTGTGTTAGGGGAAATATGTCATTTGTAAATTTTTACTTTTATTTCAGAGGTTAAGAAGACTGTCCACCAAGTACAGAACTGAAAAAATTTACCCTACAATCACTGGAGAAAAGGAAGAGAATGTTAAAAAGAACAGATATAAAGATATTCTGCCGTGTAAGTGATTCATTATTAATCCTTGTAGCTCTGTGTTTTTGCTCTTCTGATAAAGGCTTAGTGATATTAAACCTTAAGGGTTTTTTTTTTGCTATGGAGGCACCCGTGCGTGTGCGTTGCTCACAAGTAGCTGTGTGGGTCCATAGCCGCACACCACTTTCGGGAAGCCAACCCCCGTGTTCACAGTCACACTTTGACTGCAGAAGGAGCCTATGGATCCTCTGCCCCCGGTATACTCCCCACAACCAGGAAGTTCGGGGAACTGAAGATCGCTTCGGGGACCGGCGTCGGTGTTCACGGTTAAGTGTGGTGGGGACGAGGGGCAGAAAATGGTACTGGGCACATTTTACCATAATGCAGAGAATGCATTAAGGTAACCACACCCAGCCTTCAGTGCTATAAAGTCCAACTAGGCAATAGAACATCCAATAAATGTTCTTAAGGGGGAGACTGATGCCTTCATATATGGCACTCGTATGCGCTGAGTGGCCAGATTATTATGACCACCTGACGTTTGTAGGCAAATTAGCTATAATTTCGCGCTGAAGTTGCTAGAGGACTAGACCATTATAAATAGGGAAGCAGGTTGTTTACCACGACAGTAGAAGTGCTTTTTTTTCTGAAGATATGGGTTAACAATGCGATATAACAGCCTTTGAACGTGGGATGATTGTTGGCGCTCGGAGCCATGGAGCGAGTATCAGCAAAACAGCAGAATTAGTTAAATGTTCAAGAGCAGCTGTTAAAGTGTTTAAAGACTGGACTGTCAGCCGAAAATCTGTGTCTGAACGTGCGAATTGTGGCCGTCAGCGACTAGTCAATGTTAGGGCAGAACGGAGAGTGGCAAGACTGGTACAAGACAACAGAAGGGCAACAGTGCAGTGTCAGATTCCTCGCATCACCTTTCAACATCTCGTGGAGTCACGAGGTGGCCCAACGAAGTCATCTCGTGGCCCAACTAAGTACTGATGGGGTGGTCATAATAATCTGGCCACTCAGTGTATGTACTCATAAAGGATTACAGTCACTACCAGATGTAAATTATGTAAAATATACTTTTCATTTTGAAAATTATACTGCCTAAATGACAAACCTTAAACACCATATCTATAAAGAAAACTTCTATTGTAATACTGCACAGGCCTTTCCAGAAAAAAATAAAAAAACTGCAGTGCATCAGTCCTTTTGCGTTCAAACAAAGTAGCCTACAGGTACCACAGTGCCCTATATATGAATTGATAATCGTTCGTAGACACAACAGTTAAATATTACTTTAGAATCCGATCGAAGAGTATATAATATACTAAGAGTATTTAACTATACTATACATCCTTGTGAGCTGAATACTTCAAAATATGTGGCAATCCATTGGGAGTTTATCTTTCCCATTTGCTATCCATAAGCCAATGGCTACTCTCCATAATAATTAGCTACAACATCCAGTCATTAATTTGTATAAACAAGACACCTTGTCGCACCTTGAAGGTACATTTACTGAAAATATAAATTTGTCAACAAGGATTCTTCCACTCTGTTGATTAGAACTTGAGGTAATAAAATTGCACTGTAACTATCGGACACCAAATGAGCATCCAAGATTGGAAATATTTGGCGTTGCCCCAAACAGTTTTACCCTCTTATGTAATTATTTAAGCAAGAAAGAAAATTAAGGAGCAGCAGGCCAAAAGGTAAGGGCCCAAAACTGTTTAATGTTTTACACAAAACAGCCAACCAATTTCAGGGACCAAAACAAGGGCTTTTATCAGGTCTTTAAAAAATGAATGTAATATAGTCTAATAATGCATTTCAATATAAATAATCTAAAAACATGAATAATATATGTATATATTACGGACAGTGTAATAGTTATCGCTGTAAAAATATTCCTTCACATTAATATAAGTGTATATAACCAGGTGTAAGAATTTATCAAAATACTTCAGGAATGTTAAAATAACACTTTAATAAAACAGATATAAAAACATAATTTCTAAAAATGATTTGAAATGGTGGCCATAAATTGGAATGTAGGGTATTATAGCACATATATCATTAAATACAGTTAAACTAAACTGCTGGGTCTCCAGTTGTGTGAGATTTTAAGATACTGTCCATAAGAAATATTCTGTATCGGAAATGTATGATGACTGCTTTTACATGAAGAATAGTGTTCCCTACTGTAGGTTTACAAAAATGACCTGTACTTTAACAACCATCCATCTGCTCAATTTAAATACAGTATACAGGATCCAGCTAGAACCTGCATCAAAAGATGTAAAGTAAACTGTAAATTTAAATTGTTAGTGTTTTTTTTATTGAAGTTGATTTAAAATCCTCTTATTAACCTTGTCTACAAAAAGAGGTTGTCGTCTATGTACCTTTTCCATTGACATGGTTCAAGTACAAGGCGAGCACCTCTTGTGAAAATAAGTCACACTTCCACTTCCCCGGGTACAGGATTGCATATGACAGGTCACAAGTAGTTCTTTGCACCCTGTACCTGAAGGTAGTGGGGACTTGAATATGTTGTGCAAATGTAGAAAATCTACTAAATGAAGCAAAAGAACATTTTATTGATCAATTTCTCATTCAGAAATCTCCGAACTACCTTCAGCCACAGTGAATAAGGGATTGATAAATATAGACTTAACATTCAGACCTTCCAAAATTGAGTTCTCTGGTAGTTCAAGATCATTCAGCATTTCCAAATGTGGACTAGCTCTCCTACAATGGTAATGTTTCCACATGACCACGTAAACCGTGATCAATATAGTGATTTTCCAATGCTAGATACTATCAGCCTACCAGGGGGATCCTTCATGCCTTTTATGCCCCTTGGGAAGTGCATAAAAGGTGGGAGTTGTTTGAAAATCGCATAAAAGGTGGGAGTTGTTTGAAAATCAATCTTTAAGAATTTAGGCACGCCCATTGTAAAAACATTTTTTTTTCTCTACTGCAAAATATCATCTCGGATGATATCTTTTTAAACATATGTTCCTGGGACTGGAGTATGTTCCATTTGCGGACTTTTATTGCTGTCTGTTGTCCATTAGGGAAATTCACTCTCTAATTGTCCTGATCATCTGTGTCACTAGGAATAAAAGTGACCAATCCAAAATTTTGCCTCCAGAACAGGAGCAGATTGGAAATGTTCTTTTGGGTACACTTGTTCCTGTGACGACTAAGAGGTAATTTCTTTCACATTGGAAAGATTCTCTCCAACTTCTTGTTGAGGCTGTTTCTTTTAATGGTACACAGGTGGCAAAAAAAATTCTGACAACCCTGTCACCTTGAATGTAATGCCAGCAGACTCGGTGACCTTTTTGCTCCTCCTTAGCAGCTACATAAAAGGTTTTGTATGAAGGGAAGGGCAGAGGACCCTAACCAGTAGCGCTGAAACCAACTAATCAAATAATTGATAATAATCAATAATGAGACTCGTTGTTAATGATTCTCAGTATTGATTAGTTGGTCTGGGTCCCCTAGTTCTCTCCTCCACGGTTGGAGCTGGTATTTCATTGGTCCTGTGTCCTCTCCAATCCCCCGCTATTCCGATCAGGGATTGGCGAAGACACAGACCCCTGCAGCCGGTACCCATCAGTGAAGAAAGCTCCACCAAACCTCCCCCCAATTTTTTTTTTTTTTTTTTTTTTTTTTATTTCAAAAGGGAACTATCAGGGATCTGTTTAGGCCCCTGATATTTCCCCAAAACTCCTAACAGTAAAGTAATAAAAATAAAAGAATTCCAGTTAAAATTAATAAAAAATTATTAAATAAGGTCACCACCCCCTCGCTTATTAAAAAAACAAACAAACCTGAAAGTGGGGGGAAAAAGTCATTTTCGGCCTGACAAATTCTGTTGCGGGAGATTCTTTGGGGTGATACCGAAATGAATACCGTAGTACTGCAAATGCGCCTCCGACCCACAGAGTAATACCCCTGCCGTGCGTTTCAGTATGGTGCAACTACAATTGTGTATGCAGTTTTATTCCGAAGTACACTTTGTAATACTCCATTTTAATTTTTTAAAAATTTAATTTTTTTTTTGTATCGGATTAATCGAGAAAATGATCAGCCAACTAATAGATTATGAAAATAGTTTAGTTTAGTTGCAGCCCTACTGGCCAGCACACACATAGTAATTGGACACTTCCGGATAAGGAATGTGCTGTACAGGAGGGAACGGTGCTAGGGAATGGACTAATCACATTTTTTAGCAAGTTCAAAGGCACATTTTTTAATGAATAATAATAATTTAAAAAAAATGATGGAAAGGAAAACACTGGAAGTAAGCTCTTGAAATACTTGATATTTTCCTTGTATGTGCAATTTGTGGCGACAGGGTCTTTTTTAGGGTTCTTGAGGTCTATAAAAAACATGTTTGAGTTTGCTTGCAGAAAGATTTTTGTCTTCATATTATATTAGTATTTTATGTCGGGCTGCAACCAACTAATAGATAATGAGAATATTTGACAACTATTCTCATTATCGATCAGTTGGTTGGATCTCCGAGCGCTCTCCTCCATGCGGGAAGGAGTGCACAGCAAGCAGTGGGCTGGTGCAATAGCCGGCCTGCTAGTGGGTATCGCAGTTTGAATTGGCCAATAGCAGGCTGGCTTTTGCACCAGCCCACTACCTGCTGTATTTACATTCAGCTGCCTTCTGCGAAATCTTGCCACTGGCAGCTGTCATTTTCTGAAACTATTCAAGCACCATGTACTTACAATACAATTATTAAAAAAAATTGATAAAAGGTGTGAAAAGTCATTTTTTGTTGTTTTTGTTTTGGCCTGACATATTCTGCTGCGGGAGGTCGGTTACAGTGCCATTAATTTCAATGGCACCCCATACACGTCTACCACCCACAGTGTGATCGCCTGCCCGGTACTGCAATGCTGTGCATTCCAGTGCAGTGCGATTGCAAAAAATTGTGCATGCAGCTATGTTCAGAAGTAAACATTGTAATACCCTAGTTGTCTATTTTATTTTTAATTTAAGTAGGTGTGTTTTTTTTTTGTTTTCTTGAATCCAATTTCATTGAAAAAATTATTGGGCAACTAACCGATTATGAAAATAATCATTAGTTGCAGTCCTATTTTTGTGCCAGAGGTGTGCATATTCCATGATTGTGTGGTTCCCAAAGGTGCAAATAATGTTAATTTATACTTGAAGACATTGTTCTTTTGTAGATGGCATCCATTACTAAATTATTATGGCATAGGTTGTATGATATTTAATCACCCCTATCATCCCTATTTCTTTACTTTTGATATATTTTAAATCTGTTATCTAACTAAACTTTTTATGTTAAGCATATAAATACACATGAGATATAGATAATTTTTTTTTCTCCTATACAGTTGACCACAGCAGAGTTAAACTTGCACTGAAAATTCCTTCCTATGAATCAGATTACATCAATGCAAATTTTATCAAGGTATGATGACTTGTATTTAATAAGTTAGTGTGTGTGATTTTATAAAGTTTTTTTTTAAAGTGAATATTTTGCAAAGAGGCCTAAACAAATGCATCAGCAAACTAGATATTTACCATCGGATTTGTTTCCATTAAGTGGTCATCAAGTTTTATTTTCTGCTGACTGTATTGGTTTACAGAGCTAGGTTACACATGAACTATTTATGCAGTTTAGGAATCGTTTTTAATACTTGATATTCTATCTTGCATAGAGAACACTGAGATCTATTTCACCTTGGTGAAGGTGTTTTTCTTCTACTAATTGTGACTGTTTTATACACTTGCTTGCCATCATACTTCATTTTACATGGATGTTTATATAAATGCAATGGTTAGTCTAACATCGGTAGTTTGTAAAATGCTAGAGGGCATAATAAAGGATTATCTGGTAGAATTTGTTCAGGAAAACGGGATAGTTAATGACAATTAGCATGGGTTCAGGAAAGATCGTTCCTGCCTAACTAACTTGCTAACTTGTTATGAGGGGGTAAGTAGAGATATGGACGGAGGGAAGCCGGTAGATGTGGTATATCTGGATTTCTCAAAGGCTTTTGATACGGTGCTACACAAGCTGAGAGCTATGGGCATAGATGAGGTGGTGTGTACGTGGATAGAGAACTGGCTACGGGAACGTGCCCAGAGAGTATCTGTAAATGGCACCTTTTCAGACTGGGCTAGTGTCATGAGCAGTGTGCCTCAGGGTTCTGTGCTGGGTCCCATATTGTTCAACTTATTTATTAATGACAATATTTCTGCCATAAAGGACCATGAGTGGGCCAAATTTTTTTTTTTTTTACATTTGAAATGATTTTAAATTGTTAAGGGGTTTAACGTGAAAACCGTACTCACACCAGTAGGGATGCACCGAAATGTCGGCCGCCGAAACAGTCGAAAATGGTACTTTGGCAAGTACCATTTTTTTGGCCGAAAATGTGGTGCATCTCTAGTTTTCTCTCCTCCCCACTGGGTGCTGCTCTGTGCCACCTCTGACACAGAGCAGCGGCCAGCAGGGAGGAGAGAACTGTCAGGAGGCCAAGCCGGGCGAGTAGGAGTGTGCTGTCACAGGAGGCTGAGCTCTCCTCCCGCACCGACATGCTTTGCCTCCTGTGACAGGCAGATCAGGATGGAGAGTGGTGCGGGTAGGAGACAGATGTCGGCTGTTACAGGAGGAGTCAGTTGTCAGCCGTGTCGCAGGAGACAGAGCTCTCCTCCCGCACCACCCGCTCAGCCTCCTGTGACAGGCGAGTCAGGATGGAGAGCGAAGTACAAGTGCTCAGCGATCAATAATTCAGGACACTATGTTTAATATGTCTCCAATTTTATGTGTGTCCCCAATTATGAATGAACAGGGTGTGCTCTAAATCACTTCCTCTTCATTCATGTTTGTAGATATAATTCATTCCATAGCCACAACTTTTATGAATGAACAGGAGCACACAATATAGAGGCTTCCTGTTCATTCATAACAGGGTCTGCAGAAAAAGATTATCTGTGCCCTTAATCTCTTTTTCTATTTCAAAAGGGAAATATCAGTATAGACCCTTGATATTTCCCCAGAGCCCCCAATCGTAAAGACAAAATAAATACAAACTAAATATTCAAATTTATTTTAAAAAGGTTAAAAATTTGTCAGGTCAAAACCGAAAATCATTTTTCTATTTTCACTTTCAGTCTGAAAATTCCGTTTCGTTGCACCTATACACACCAGTACACCTTGCCAGTCTGAACTGTTGACACAAGACAGAATAGATTCATAGGTTTATGCTTTGTACACAAACATCTAGCTCCACCATCTGCATATTTCTGCAGAAATGGTGTTCCTTTAAACCAGGAAACATTTTTGTAGGTTTCATTCTTCTAGTTTTGGTGATCACATGCTTGGTGTAGCATGATTTTCCTGTTCTGGGCTAACACGTGAAACCTGGCATGAGTGAGTGCCTGTTGTTCTAGCACATCCTCTTCAAGATTCAGCTTATTGTGCATTCACAGATGTCCTTTTAGAAAGCCATGTTATAAAGAGTTATTTGAACATTACTTAACATCCTGTTCAAATTAGTGAGGCCCTTATCTTCTGACTTTTGATGGTTTCTGTCCTCTGGGCAGGACAACTAGTACTCCTGGAAGATGTTAAATGTTAATACAGCTTTTTAATTAATTTATAAATGTATCTTGATATTGGCCCCCCCCCGTCATTCCCAGTACACCAGCACTCAGACTCAGACTGAGGTGAGGCCTGAATTAGAAGCCAGTTGGGCTTTATTGCATGCACATGTATTGACTGTCCACATGCTAGAAAAAAGTGAGTTGAGGGATAATTTGCTTCTGCCACTGTCCAGTCTGCATGCTGTTGATGTGCTTTTACCTGGTGGTGATGACTGTGCTATGGTGCTGTTGTAGTTGAGGTCAATGATCTGGCTTTGTTGTCTGACAGGGATCCAAGGATGACAAAATGGCAGCATAGAATGTCACACTCTTTGGCTGGAAACCTTTTCTTGTTTGTGTTTTAGCTAGGGGGTGGTAAATTAAAATGGTATTCAGGGGTCAGCCTGTTCAATCCAGGAGCCAGCAGGTTTTTTTTAAAGAGCCACGCCCAATGGCCACAACTGAACAAAATCTCAAAAGTTGGGCATCCTATATATTTTTTTATGGTGCCTTGGCTAACTGGCTCCTGAGATTTAAGCCCTCATTTAGCTGCCTGCCTATTCAGCTTTAAAATTATTGTTAGACTAGGTTAAATATGGATCTATAGTTATACCTGTGTATGTTACTTTAGGTAAATTGATGCAGGCACCAAGAGGCTTTTAGCTGGCTTCCAAAACACGCTGGGAGCCTTCATGGCCAATTTATGCAAATAAAGTCAGAGCTTAGTCACGAAATCCTGCCTCTTGTGTTTGCATGTTTTGGTTCATAGTAATGAGTGGCTTCAGTGTCCAGTAGTGAGTTGTGCAATAGGTTAGGTCAGAGCTTGACTTCAGAAACTAAAATCACAATTGCTCTACAATCCATCTAAAAGGTATATGCAGCCACTTCTATGCCCACATCTATGTACTCTTTAGTATAACTTGAGTACAGGCTTGCTTTCAGTCTTCCAGTAAACTTGGAGGCCTAAAGCACCAGACCAAACAGAATGGTATTGCAGGCCTTTGCGTTTGCTGACATGGGCAGTGGATCAAGGACGGTCTAATCACTTCAGTCAAGCAAACACTGCAAGAAAGTCTAGTATCATTGACATGGCCAGAACAATATACTTTTGGTCTGGAGGTTAAAAGGCAAAGCTGGTCTCTTATGTCTTAGATCTGGCCAACTTCTCTATGGCTCATTGACTGTTTTTAAAATAGCATTAAAAGGGTTTTAAGCTTTAGTGTGATTCCAACCTTTGTTCGATGTCCCATAGAAATCTGTAAGGATCCACTGCAGAGGTGCGGTCCGTGGCAACAAAAATTGGGCCATGGCCTGTAAATGTTGCAAAAGGCTGCAGCCGCTTGATTCAGGTAACTACGCATTAAGAGTGCGTAGGATACTTTTATCATAAAGCCCAAACAAGCTGGATAAGTGTACTTGTATGAAAGTGCATCTATCTTATGCCAACTGACATTATCCAATGATCCAGTGACAGACAGAACAAGGTCAGTTTGTGTAGTTGACACTGGATTAAGATGTGTCCTTTAAACTTGACATAACCTAATGGCTTAAAGTGTATATAATGACAAAACTTAAACTCCTGCTGTGTCCCCCAAGACAAAATAATAAAGCGAAATCTCTTCAACAGGACACAGAAAAAAACATGATAGGAGTTTTAACCATTCCTTACTTTGTCCAAAACTGGGGAAAAGACGATTTGGCTTTGGATATGCTTTAAAAAGTAGTTTTTATTTTTTATTTTTACTGATGTGGCAAGAGGAGGCTTTTGGCTTTCGCTATACGCATGGTGTGAAATATTCATAGAAAATGTTTAACCAAGCAAAGGCTCATCTGGCTTATATTACATTGAAAGCCTACAGTGAGAAATGTACTTAAGGGGATAAAATCACCAAAAAGAAACATTTGGTGTGGTTTGGAATTCCCTTAAAAGTGGAGTCAAATAATTTATTCAGAATTTCCTTTTCATCATCTGGTTTTAGAATAGTCACAAGTGGTTTATACTCATTTATTTTAAGTTCTTGACATTAACATAAAGCAACTTTTTAAAGAGTATATTTGTTTGTTATGGCAAGACTAACCTATTTGTATAAATCGTTCTTTGGTTCCTGACAAATTGTCGTTAACAGTTGGTAATTTTAACTTCAGATTTCCCTAGGGCCACATCTAAAATCATTTTCATTATGCACTTGTATAAGGGATCAACTGGAATGTTGTTGCAAGTTTTGCTTTATAGTAGCCCACACTTTTTAAATAATTTTTTGGTAAATCTCTAATGTGTGTGCTATTATGCAGTTTGTAGAAGACCAGAATTTTCTTTTGCTGCCTAAGTTGCCGATGTGACGTGACCCGTAGGGCAAAAATAGATGAATTTGTAGCAGCAAATGTTTCTTAGAAACAAAAACGCTAAGGAGAGCAATCAGTATCTGCTACAATATGCAATCCACAAAATCTCTTGTATATGACCCTAATTGGTTTCTTCATGACAGCACAGCAGTCCAGCTTTTATTATGCCTCCTTAGTATTCTGGATTAGATCTCTGAGCATTTTAGAACTTTTTCCTTTTCTATGTAGGTTTAACTCTCAGGGTTGACAGACAACGCTCACTTGGAAGACCGATACTGTCAAGTGTAACTGCAATTTTTACAATGTACCCCACAACTAATAACTTTTCTTTTTAATTAGGGCATGAAATCTACTTTGTATGTGTCAGCATGTTTTCTGCTTCAAGATTACGGTTTATTATTCTACTAGAAAAGAATATGCTGCATGAGCGTGTATCATATCATTGTACATATTGTGGTGTTGAAATGTTATCTCTTTACTGTGTGTGTGGCTTGTAATTGATATGTAATGTGAACTGATTTGTATCATTTTTCTTTCTAGGGCGTTTACGGGCCTAAAGCATATATAGCAACCCAGGGGCCACTAGCCAATACTGTAGTAGATTTCTGGAGAATGAACTGGGAGTACAATGTTGGAGTAAGTCTTTCTGTGTAGCTATTTTTTTTTCTTCTTCTGCTAATGAGACTTAAGAAAAAAAAAAGGTAAATCTTTTCTTTGGCCCAGCATTGGTAATGCACTGGTTCTCTTTAAAGCATTTTGTATTCTAACACCTGCTCACCAGTTTGGTTGATGGTGCCAGCTCAGTGGGACATGGGTGCAGAGCCAGATAAAAGTTGTCAACTTTTTCAATCATCGATTATGTTGATTAGTTGTGCAGCCCTACTTCTTTCCACCCTCAACAAAATCCCAATACATTTAAAAGAGAAGATTGCATACTATAGGCACTAAAAATGGCTTATTACAAATGTGCACAGGACAAGTTAAACTTTTATGTATGTTCTGCTGTACTTGTCATGTTTCTCATGGAGTGTCGTTGCTACATATATAACGTGCAAGTACTTAGAGGTGCTTGCACACGACGGCAGGAGCTTTCTTTGTCCCCTGTATGCACAAATGCCAGGCTGTTCTATAACTTGCCCTCCCCCTATTGGAATGTATGCATACTACCTGGAACAGCTTTACTTTACCAAAATGGCCTGACATTGAGGATGCAGTTAAAGCTGCTGCAGGGTTTCCCTCCCCCCCAAAATGTGATTGAACTTGTATATCTGGATCAAATATGCTTTTGAGATGTTTTTTTTAATTGTTATAGCTAGAAAGACATCACTTTTAAAAGGGAAGCTAACTAGAAAGAGAAAATCATAGTGTACAAAAGGGCTCGAGACATGGTTTAGTGACTTACCTGGAAGATGATGCAAATTTGTATTCCATTAAGAATTGTTATATTGTTTGCCCAATTCAATGTATAACTAGTATTTAGAAATTAGAAATCTGTTTTTGGAAGGCATATTTTGTACTGCTCAAAAATTCATAGTGTAGCGCTATGTGTATGAGTACAACACAGGCATGTGCCTTTCTGTCTGACATGCATGGTTGTAATCTGATAATTCTGGGTGGTTAAACAGCAACTAGTTGTCTTGTCTGTGAAGGTTCTCATTCATCCAGGTCATGGTATAGCTGTAAAAAAATAAGTCAAGGCAACTGGACTTGCTGTATTTTTCTTGAAGACGTTTCACTGCTCATCCGACCAGCTTTCTCAATTCAGAAACTAGTTGTCTTGTTTTTCCCCATGTTAAGTCTGCAGGTCACAATTCTTCCATACATTGAAACAATGGGCTGTTGGTTACATTTGTTAGATTAAAAAAAAGCTTTATTTAAAGTAAAACTCTAGGTTACACCTTTTTTTTTTGTGCTACTTTTAGTTTTAATTGCAAAATGTACTCCTGTAATAAAAAATCCACCATAAGCTTGCAAAGCAATATCATTTACTGTGGATGGTGCTGAGCTCGGTGCTGACAATTAATCCAGACTATTGGGATTCTCCCCACTCTTCTCTCCTCTTAAGTGACATTGCCTTGTAGTAGATGTTGCGCGTTTATTAATACATCCACAGGCGTAGCAGCTCAGTCCCTGCCTCCCCTCCATCTCCTTCTCCCTGGCTCATCATGAATAACATCCGTCCCTGCAGCTCTGTGCCTGCAGGTCCGTCCCTGCCTCCAATCCATGTTGCTATCCCCATTTCTGCTCCCTGGCTCATCAGGAATAACACAAAGGAGATTTGCAGCAGCGCTTCAGTAACTGGACAAGGTAAGATCATTTGCTGAAGCGCTACTGCAGATCTTTCATTTTTTCCTTATGACCCAGGGAGAAGAAGAGATGACAACAGAAAGGTTGGGGTGCAGGCCGGGATGGAGCTGTTGCACCTTTGCGGTTATTCATGAACATGCAGCAGCTCCTACAAGGCACTCTCACTCAATGGGAAGAGAAGAACGGGGAGGATCCCGACAATAGTGTCTGGATTGCTTCTCCGCGCGGAGCTTTGCCCTGCCCACAGTATATGATTTACAAGCTTATGGTGGATTTTTGATTACAGGAGTACATTGCAAAATGTACTCCTATATCATAAGGAAACTAAAAATGGCAAAAAATTTAGCTTATCGTTATCATAGAATTGTATTATTTTTTAAATACACCTCTCTGTACAGCTGCATTTGCTTTTTTTTTTTTGTGAGTCTTAGACTATTTGTACCATTTATTTGGCAGCCCTGGTACTGGAACAGTTTGTGGTTATACTAGTTTCCTCAGTTGTACCTCATTCTCTTCCTCTCTCACAGAAGTCGATAGTATTGACAGTGCTGTAAATGTTGTTTTATAAACTGAACCTCCTGACTACATTTAGACATTTAAATACTAGGGAGAGTTATTAGAGCAACCTTGTCAATAACCATTTCAAAACAAACAAGTTACCTGAAGAGTGTAAATACGTGCCTCCTGATGACTACATGGATTAAAGGGTTTCTAAACGCTCTGTTTTTTTGCATAGATCTAATGCTAGCAAGCAGTAGATGTATGCAAAGAGTTTTTAAAAAACAAAACAAAAAATGCTTTAAATGCGGTTTAAACTTACCTGTGTCTTAGCCGCGCGCTCCTGTACGAAAATATGAATATTCTCGACAGAGATTCACAGATGGCGTGGTCTCGGAAGAAACTTTGCCAGTGATTTGTCTTTACTGGAGCAGCAATTGGTTACAAGGGAAGTAGACAAGTATTTACACCATTATTTAGAGGTTATGTGGAAAATGGAAGAGGTAAATATTCCCTTCTTATTGGGTAACCGGTTTACTTTGAAAATGAATTTTGGTGACATGGTCACTTCAAATGAAATCTGTGCTGAGTGGAACTTTGGGGCTGCCATTGCTAACCCCCTCAGAAGGGCTAGTTGCAGCTGTAGAGCGCAGTTAAAGCACATTTACTGCTTGTAAAGAATATGAAAATACATTAATATGCAAAGTCTGGGCTTTGAGGAATAAAATATAGGACCTGCCCTTTAACAGCTTAGTTGAGAAGTGATCTTGTATCACAACAAAGTCATGTTTCTGAATCAGATGGGATGCAGGAAGAGGGGATTTTGCAAAGTTTGCTTAGCCCCACTCTCCAGTTGTCCATTGCATGTATTGAGCTGAGGCCATGTGCTTATTCACGCATGTACAGTCTTGCAAAATTTTCAAAATTTAGTTCTAAATAAGATTAGGTGTAGCCTGAAACGCGCTTACCTGTTCATGGAAATCCTGGGATATTGTTATGCATGGAGAATGCTGCCATTTGATAGGGAGGGGGGCACAATTGAATAAGCAGGCCTTGCGTTTTAGTGCAAGGTCAGCGTTGGGGCCCATTCACACCACATCCAGATCATGACCAGGTTTATGGACCCAAAATGCATCCTAATGTATCCCTATGCTATTTCTGGCCTCTGTTTACACCTGCGCATTCCGTACCAGACCAGAAAAATACTGCATCTCTCCCTTGACCTGCTCTGGAATGCATGGAAACCCATCAAAAATGCAAGCAAATGCACTGGAATGCACCTGAAAGCCAATTTTAAGCTAAAAAGAAAACCAGCTCCGGAATGCGGCAAAACGCAATGCACTACGTTCCAGATATGGTCAGGAAAATGTGTACCTGCCCTTAATATTGACTGTTTTTGTTTGAGAAACTTAACTTGGTAAATTACCGCTGCGTTGGCTTTGAATAAACAACCATTTGCAGAATAAATTAGGTAGGAACTTGCATACGACATGACTGGAAAATTTGAAGTCCGTCTTTATCTAATTTTGAGTGAAGATTCTCAACTCCTTTAGTAAATCAGCCTCATATGTGTTAAAAAGCAGAAATGTGCACAAGTTTCTTTGGAGAGCAGAGATAATGAACTCTGTAGGTCTTTTGCTAATAAGTGTTTGTTTTTTTTTGTTTTTTTTTCTCACTGCAGATAATTGTCATGGCCTGTCGTGAATTTGAAATGGGACGGGTATGTATCATGGATAATCACCATGAGCTGAATTGTACTTTCACATCCCATGGAGTTCTGTATAAATGCAGTATTTTTGTTAACACTTATTTAAAATAATCTGAAATATGCAGACAGTACCAACATTAGCATTGTACTGGGTGGCTTTATTTACATTTCCTTTTAGAGCAATGCAAAGAAAATGGAAAAAAAGGCCAATTTGCTCCTTCTTTTTTTTTTTTTTTTTCCCATCCATTTTTTTATAAACCTTTACTACTGTTAGTAGTATTCAATTCTTTGTTGTAAATTACTTTCCTACCTGTCTTGTGTGAGTATTTCTCTGCAGTGTTGCAGTATCCATTGTGCTTGATTGGACATGTTCAAGCTTTGCTTGTCTGTCTTTCGATAGTCTGCAGTGGGCAATGAATGGTTTGCACAGACTGTCGGTATTAGGTTGCCTGATTTCATTCATTAAGGGACACAAAGGAAGGAATTCAGAAACAGGTTATACTGCCAACCATAGGAGAATTGTACACTGGCAAACATAAAATTTGAGGGCCAGCCCAGTATAACTCCTCCTTACTCCCAGCATGCCTCAATTTTTTGCTTGTATCCTAGGACAGTGCATTTGTTTTCTCTGCCCTGCTGAGAAAAGTCTAACCTTTTACTAGCTTTTTTCCTAAATTTTTTTTCTACTACATATGCTTCCAAGTCTTCCCCTGCAGAATCCCTATTCTATCTTTCTGCAGCCTCTGAGCCTTCTGCCTCCGAGACCCTGTTATGATGTTAAGTCTCAGGTTCTTAACAGATTAATCTACACCTGAGTGTAAACAGTCTTCTGCCATCACTCCAAAATAGACACTTTCAGCTATTATTGACATGGTGCGCACAATAACACTTGAGGATCAACCTGTAGCTTCTACCAGTGCTGTCCCCAGTCTAGACTTCTTCTGGACCCCCCCCTTCCCCCCAAGACATCCAAGACTTTTCCAGTACACCTGATATTTACGATCTTCCTTTTATAGAGACTGGAAAAAACCTTAAGGCTGGGTTCACACCTAGGCGTTTTTCCGCGCTTTCGTACTCGCTCAAAAAAACGCTCAAACAGGGACATGCCATTATTTTCAATGTGCATGGTTCCCATCTGGGCGGTTTTCCGCGAGTACGAACGTGCGGGAAACCGCCCTACGCCCAAAGAAGTACACGTACTTCTTTGGGGCGTTTTGGTCGGGCGGTTCCATTGGGATACAGTCAAGTATCCCTCGGAAACGCGCGGTTTTTGCGCGGTTTTTTTAACCGCGAATCGCGGTAAAAAAACGCGTGAAAAACGTGCATATTCAATCCGTCAAGGTGTGAACCCAGCCTAAGAAGTTGTTTGTCCCTCCCAACAGCTATTCACATCATACCTGTCTTGGGAGGATTTTGTTAAAAAGCAGACTGTTCACTCCGTGGATTCGGCAGTGTCCTGTCTTAACAAAACTTGGACCATAGGGCCTTTCTAGAACACGGTTTTCTCTGAAAGGACCTACATTGCAATCAGTGACATTAGTCTCTCAGACCCTAGCTGCCTGGGCTAAGACCATTAGAGTAGATTTAATCACAGGCAAATGGCAGTTGATCACTTGCTCATAGAGCATCTGGGGCTCCTGCCTGGAGCCTTGAACTACATTGTAGGTGGGTTGTTGGAAATATCTCATCTCCTGGATGGTCCTTCTAATAAGGAGGACTGTATGGAGTGTTTGGATGAAGTGTTGGGCTGTTGAACCCAAAAGAAGCTCTTGCCTTGCTTACCCTTATGGGGGTAAGGGTATCTGTCTTCCGCAGCAGAAAAATGCCTAGAATTAAGGAGCAGCCTGCCTTTTGTCTGGGAGACTTCCTGGCCTATATTGGCATCAAGGGCGTGTACCTACGTGACCTAATTTTTTCCATCATATCTGCGATTTCTTCATTTTTGCACTGGGTCCTAACCACTTCCAGTTTGTGGCCCTGCCCATTGGACTTCTCCTCTGCACCTCAGTTGTTCATCAAGGTGCTGGCCTCATAGTCTTGTTGAGATCCCCCAGTTAGCTCAGGTTATAGGGGACATTCTATCATAGACCTTGAAGAGGTTTGGCTGGTTTCTGAACGTTTAGTACTCAGTGCTGGAACTGACCGCCTGAAGTATCTGGCTTGACCTGTGTCTCGGATGGGGCCTAGAGTTTTTTTTTCCTCCCAGGAGAAACTTCAGACACTCTGCTCCTGGACTCTTCGGACAAGGAGATGCATAACTCTTTGGCTTCCATTCCTTGACGAAGACCCACCATTGCACATGGTGTGAACCTATCGGGGAATATTGCTCCACTCTCATTTACAAGGTTGTGTTTCTTGTTGCAATCACCTCTGCAAGGCAGCTGTCTGAGCTGGCAGCCTTATCCTGTAATGAACAATTTCTGATCTTACACAAAAACAATGTAGTAGCTAAATTCAAAAACAAAAATTTAATATTTTGTAGCTTACTGGCCGTTCGTTGTAGTGTCTGCATCAGATTGCTTTTTCAGGCTTTTCATCATTCTTTTTACCTGGTAAACCTTCCTGTTTTTAACTGGAGAGTCACTGTTGTCAACCTAGTGTAAGACTACAGAAACCTCCCCTTCTCAAAAACAAAGGGTTCTGTAGCCATTAGAGGTGACTTAGAACAGTGCACTGATAATGGTGTAGCGCAGGCAGAGAGTACAAGAACTTATCAGGAGTCGGACATTTCAAATTTGAATTCAAATAGGTTTTATTTGTTTTCACAACATAAAAAAACAACAGTACACGTTCGAATACATCACAGAAATGTACTATACACGTATTGTAGTACCAACCTCGAGTGGTGTCTACATGGATTGTTACATCATGGATAAGCTTGAACAAATAAGAATCAACACATTTTACAATGGAGAACCGACCAGCATAATTCATTTTAGCGCCATCACCAATGACAAGTCTAAACACGTGAGTCACTATATACGACCAATGGAGAGGAAGGGTCTCGTGGATTTCAACAGCAAGATTAGTACCAGGGGCATCGTTTCAAAATTTGCATATCAAATGTATTGAACAGATAAAACAAAACACTTAATTTTTTTTTTGTTCATACCAAAAAGGACCAAATGAGATGTTTGTTGGGCTTTGCATATCCTTTAAGACCATTTGAGAAATTGGATGCTTTTAAGACCTAGTAAAGCCCACATGCCTTGTGATATAAAACGACTAATTAAAATGTATTCTGAACGGTTGCATTATTATATAATGGAGACTTTTTTGTGCATTTCCAAATGTAATGTTCTGTAGTTTTGGTTTAAATTTAGACAATCTAAAGGAAGAAATATGTTTGTTTATACTGTGCTAATCAGTTTGGATTGGTATCTGAAGCACCAGTGGCACTGGTGTTAGGGAACAAAAATGTTCCCATAGTGATATCCTGCTTTTAATAGAAGCAGTTTGCCTTTGTCAAGAGAATTGCCTTGGTTTGATTACCGTTCCCACTGTAAATCTGTGTATTGACCATTTTGTACAGACACAACCACACATACTTTTTTTTTATTGTTTTGCAGAAAAAATGTGAGCGATATTACCCCAACTTAGGAGAGCAACCTTTAAGTTTTGGACCATTTCGTATTTCATGTGTAAGTAATAACTCAAAATGTTGATTTAAAAAAAGCTTTTCATTATAATTACTATTTGTTTTAGTTTTATTCTAAATCTAAGACTTTTTTGCTTTTTATCTGAGCATTGGTTAGCTCCTGCGAATCCACCTTTTTGTTTTATTAATAATAAACACCATCGGCAGACTTAACACAAATTAATGTGGCGTTACAGAAGTGTAGGAAAAGGAATCACCAGCACTCAGTAGAATAATACACGTCCATTTATTGGACATAGACGTCACACAATCACAAGAGCCAACGTTTCGAGACCACGCAGGGTCTCTTCATCAGGGCATAACGAGTGACCTTTATTTGTCCAGAGGCTGTTGGCCTTTGATACAGCTTTGCTCTCCTGGGATCATAGCCATCAGTATGGGCATCTGGCCCATGCTGGACCTTATGGTTCTTAACACTTTCCATGAGGTATAAGATCTCGTATTAAGCCATATTATTTTTTCCCCATTTTGGTTAAGTAAGAAATCCTAAAGACCCCTGTAAGGTGTTTTTTTTTTTTTTTTTTTCTGTCATGTTGGAAAGTTTTCCCTTTTTTAGTTCTTGTCCAGAGAAACGGGAAGTAAAAAGAACTTTTCAAAGTGAGGGGAAATCGCTTCATAGTTGTTACCACAACAGGTTTACTTATTTCCATTCACCCTCCTGTTCCTTAGTCAACTAAATGAATTTGAATTCCATTAGCTGTGCTGGAGACGATCGTCATCAGGACCAATAGCGAGGGTGTATCTCCATCTCTCATATTCACCCAAAAACATTAAACAAAAAAAAACAAAAAGCTTTGGCTTCACATACTTTAATGTTGAACTCCAGCCATACCTTCAGTCTTGCACTGTTGTAGAAGCTGTTTCTTGTGTACGCTGACTTTTATCACAGTACTGAGCAAGACTGTCACTATAGACCTCTGTCATCTGAACAATCCTGCATTAAGAATAACTCATTTCTGTTTTTTATTTAGGAAGATGAAAAATCCAGAAAAGATTACTTTGTAAGGACGCTTCTAGTGGAGTTCCAGAATGTAAGCTTTGTCAAAACAAATCCTTTCTATTCACATTTATTCTTGTGAAAGTTATTTAATGCATATAGCTGTTTTCTTGACCTAATTTTACATTGCAGGGATCATGCAGACAGCTTGCCTGCAGCCTCTAATGCAGTCAGTTAATTGTTATTGGGGACTGCACAATATGTTGGTGTCTTACCACATTGCTGTATAATTAGCATGGAACCCTTAAAAGAGACCTATGGGGTAAGTGTTTTTCCCCATAGTTCTCTTAATGGTCACGGGCGCACATATACTAGCGTCCTCCCGTGACCCAAAGGCTAGTATATTGTGAGCTAAAGCTTGCGGTATACTGAGACTGCCGCAGCCGGGACAGATGCTGACAATACTGTCGTGATCCACCCATGAGTGACAGCTGGCTCTGCCTATCAAGAGGCAGAGCCAGCTGTACCCGCCCTCCCCCATCCGGTTCTCCAGTCAGTGCTGGAGGATTGGAGTGGGGATCCCTGATGGGAGCGGTGACTGACTGTCACCGCTGTCTGCAGGGAGATGATCGAGAAGTGAGTGAGCGAGCGACGGTATGTGTTCGCTCACTTCCCGATCTATTGAGCCGACGTGACAGTTTCATTGTCACATGTCGGCTCGAACTATGAGGCTGAGTGATTTTCACCCACCTAGTAGTTCTCCTTTTAAAGCACAGCTCCAGCCAAATCTCAGGGCTTTAGAAATAAAAAAAAATGGAGCATTTTTTTTTTCATTCCTACAATAAAGTGGATTTAAAGGAGAACTATGGGGTTAAGGCTTTTCCCCCATAGTTCTCCTGAGGGTAACGGGAGGACACAAACTAGCGTCTTGCCGTCACCCTAGGCTCAGTATACAGCTAGAGCTTGAGGTATACTGAGACGCCGCAGAGATATACTGAGGCGCTGAAGCGGATCCCGACAATTGTGCTGGGATCCGCCCAGCTGCGTGACTGACAGCTGGCTCTGCCTATCTAGAGGCAGAGCCAGCTGTACCCGCCCCCTCCCCCGTCCATTCCGCCAGTCAGCGCTGGCGGATCGGAGCTGGGGGAATCCAGCCCCTCCCCTGTCACGGCAGAGAGCCGTGACGGGATCGAGAGGTGAGCGAACGCCGGTATGTGTTCGCTCACCTCCCGATCTACTGAGCCGACCTGTGACAGTCTCATTGTCACAGGTCGGCTAGAACTGAGGAGTGAAAAGCACCCCCCCTCATAGTTCTCCTTTTAAAGACACCCGGTAAAAGCACAGAAATATCATTTTTAAATGCTTGCGTGCAAGTTTTTCCTTTCCACACTGTCCCTGTGACAATTGGATTTGGAAATGTTGGGCTGTCGTGGAGCGTGGTAGCATTACAACTACCCCTGCTGTACAGTAATAGCCTCCGTATGTAAGTCGCATGTATGTAACTCGGGGACTGCCTGTATATTGGTAAAAACTCATTATGCTCTTCAGTTGATGCATAGAAGGAATAGAATCCAAAGAGACATGATTTAGCATAAAGTGAAGACCAGTCCTGTCCCACGGAGCCTGCACGGGTGCACGTTGCTGCATTGACTTACCCTGTGTCTCTCCTCTTCTCCTGGCCAAAGATCTCTACTGCTCATGCGCCCGCCTCATTATCCTTTGCGGCCACCTGAGAGTCTTTGGACGGGAGCGTGTGGCAGAGATACAGGTAAGTTTAAACCTGTTTGGTAACTATTTTTTTTTTTTTATGTTTCTGCATATATCTACTGCTTGCTAGCAGAAGATAGGTGCAAAAACACGTAAGGGTTTAATTTTTCTTTTAAAACAAACCTGTGTGCAAAAATATTGTAAAGCGTTACTTTCTGTTAATAGCAGGCACCTCCTGAATACCTTCATGTTGTCTTTGATCCCTCTGGAGAGCCATGGTATAAAAATAGCCAGTTCTCATCGCCTTCATTGCTTACTGTTAGGCCATCCCTGTAATCAGTAACCACACTAGATGAAGAGGCCAGAGTCAGCGACCACAGAAGCTGATCGCTCGTTGCATATGTGCTCTGGGTTTTAGGGGTGCTGATGTGTGCTACTCAGTAACGTGCAAGAAAACCGTTTACTTTATTTTTTTAATCCTTTAAAATCTTCAGATAATGTAGGCAGTCCAAATATCATGTATGCCATGGACAGTGTGAAGTACTGCATGTATGCCATGGACAGTGTGAAGTACTGCATGTATGCCATGGACAGTGTGAAGTACTGCATGTATGCCATGGACAGTGTGAAGTACTGCATGTATGCCATGGACAGTGTGAAGTACTGCATATTTATTCTACAAACCTTGTAGACCTTTTGTGTCTAGCTTGTAAAATGATAGATGCATATGTAGAACTTGTATCCTTGGTTAACATTCCCCTGTCTTCTGTTCCAGTTACTGGTAGTATTATTTCTGTGGTTTCTTCATGTTTTGAATAAAATATTGTGACATTCCAATGGGATTGTAAAATGTTAATTACTTTCCTACTACTACTAGAAAATGTTCTATATGCTAAAATAGCTTTCACTTTGGAAGCACTCTTGATATTTTTTAATTAATATATGTAATCTAATTATGTCTTACAAAACAGAATTAAGTATTGTAATGTGCGAGTCTAGTTTCTTAAGTGGACAGTACCAAATTATCTCAGCTGTTTCTTTAAAGTAGTATTAAACGCTCATTCTTTTTTTTTTTTTTGTGTGTGTGTGCCAATTATGAATCCAGATCAAACGAATATAAATTGACCTGCAAAGTATTTTTTTAAACACTTGCCCAAACACTTACTGTCATCTCATTTCTAAACAGCTGGTTTCAACGTTCTGAGCTCGGCTTCCCTGAACTTCCTGTTCAGTACAAGATCACAAGGGAGAGCACAGCCTCCTGCACCTGTCTATCTATGGGCTTGGATAAGGGAGCAGTGGGGAGTTCAGTGGATTGAGCTGCTGTGCACCTGTATTTGTGGTGAATAACACACAAAATGGATGGCTCCATAGGACCTTGCAAGGGAAAGCAGCCACCCTAAAACTGAAAATCCTGGATATCGGGATTCATTGGAAAAAAATCTTCCAATCTCTGTCCAATCAAGGGGCTCAATGCATTTCATCCCTTTGATCTCTTTGTATCAAGTGAAACTTGTACCTGGAGAGCTTTGTTTGGGGGACAGTCCTATTCCCTATCAGTGGAAATGTAGGTTGCCTATACATTTGATGAAGGAATAGATAGGTGACTAACTCATCACATATTAAAGACTTGATTCTTATTTCCATGTTTTAGCAAATACCGCGCTGCTTTTCACATTCTTCAATTTTCTGTTTTCTGCCATTGAGGGTGTGATTGGTACTGAATGTTTACAATTTAAATAAAAACTTCACTTATGCTGCTTAAAGTCCAATTTACATGAGGGTCTTCTCCCTCTCTTGCAGGTAGATATGCAAAACTAATAAAAATGCCAAAATACTTTGATGTAACCACCAGTGGGTGTCTCAAGTGATGGGTGGGTGTGGGGGGGGGGGGGGGGGTTGGGGAAGGGAGGGG